TTTTTTATTTTTTATTTTTTTCGTCTTTTTTTATAGCCAAACAGGATTTGAAATGTCCCCCAAACCGTTTTTCTACCAAATTTCTCGAAAACCGATTGATACCTGAAAACGTTAAGGCAACAATATATTGTTTTATCTCATGAGTAAATAGCTCAAAGTGCTCTTTTCAAATTTGTAGTCAAGCTTGACCTTGTTTTTCAGTGATTCGGACGTGGCATAGAATTTTCAAGGGTCGTCCACGACTGGCGTCCGATGGCTTGGAGTAACCTTGCAAGTGCAAGAGACGTACGTCGTGGACCCCGCTGAATATGGTGGCAATGTTTATTTTAGAAGACAATCCAAAACCATAATAAAAATCGTTTTGCACAAAAGTTGGGCTTTCCATCCGGTTTCCAGCTAAAGTTAAACAATTTCTGATTCACTCAAACAGCATCAAAATAAGTTGAAAACTTATAGAATATAGGATATTTATGCTATTTCATATCCTGTTCGGAACAAATTCACAAAAAACAAGAAAACCGTATGCTCTTCCGAAAGGTTTCTATAAAACAAAATAATTTTTTCTCAGTTTATGCGCACCTGTAATTTACGCTTAGCGGATAAAATTAATTAGATCCTGAAGTTTTCAACTAGTTTTGCTGCTGTTTGAGTGAATCAGGAATTGTTTAACCTTAGCTGGAAACTGTGTGAAAAGCCCAACTTTCGTAAAACATGATTTTCATTATGCTTTTGTGTTTTTTCTTCGAAAATATACAGAATCATTATAGTTTCTTCTCTATCTTTCTAATAGCTAGTGAGCCTATTATTCTATTGATAAGTGTGTGCTCTTACCGAAGATTTTATCCAGATAAAAAAAATGAAACTTTTGAATTATTTCGTAAAAGAATAAAAAATAAAAAAAAACAATAAAAAAAAAGATATAAACGCAGAAAATGGCAAAGATAATTTTTTTCAATATAAGACACAAGTGAAATATGTTCTATATCAACATGCCATACAATGTATATGATTAGATCGTTTGACATGAGTAAATTCTCTTATTTTATTTTATTTAATATTAATAATCAATTAACAAAAAACTAGTGACGTCTCGTATTTCGATGAGATACTCCGTCAGACAGTAAGTTTAATACAAATGACTTAACATACAATAACTTACGAAGTCTGATTTGTTCTTATTTTACTTATAAGTTATTGTATGTTAAGTCATTTGTATTAAATTTACTGTCTGATGAAGTATCTCATCGAGACACGAAACGTCACTAATTTTTTATTAATTGATTATTAATATTAAATAAAATAAAATAAAATAAGAGAATTTACTCATGTCAAATATCAATTCAACCTTCTTATCGTGACATGAATGATTAGATCGTGTTTGGATAGCTCAGTGGTAGACATTGTGGTACACTCCTGGTTTTATTTTTCCGAATGTTGGTTTCAAAATTCTGTAAAATTATCAATGATCTAGACTGTATCCACACTAAACAGGCATATACTTTTGTCCAATACTTTAGCTCACTTTTCTATTAAATGTAGGTGCTGTCAATATAACGAAAAAATATATTCATTGACAAGATTTACTTGTCATGTATTAGATAAAAGAAATGGGCAGAGTGTTGTAGCCAATCATTATTCGTCGGACAATGTTTTGACAGATGACCAAAATTGTCTCCATTTGAGTATCCACCAACAATCAAAAGTTTGATATGACTAAATCTCAGTCCTATTTAACTTAAAGCTCAATTAATTTTAGTGAGCGATCAGCAGATAAAAGTTCTGGATTTTATTTGCTTAGTTCTCCAATGAATATTTTTGAAGATTGTGGCACAGAGACTGTTCTCAAAGCTACATGAATAGAAAAAACTTTAACATTAAGGTAGTCTTGACGTCTTAAGGGGGGGGGCGCCCCCCCCGGGGGGGGGGGGGGGGGGGGGGGGGGGGGGG